TGCCCCCCCCCCCAGAATTATTCCCCCCCCACCATTTTGACCCCCCCTCAAAAAAAATTATTAGTCACTAAGAGCGACTAAAGGCTACACAAGCCTTCTGTCGTTATCGGAAAATGTATGGCTTATAAGTTGTCATTACTCATTAGTGAATGCGCGTATACATGAAATTGTTTTTTACAGTTTCAATATTAGTTTGTAAATCTCTGAATGGTAAAACTTGCCAATACTCCAATAATACGTTTCAAAGAAAGACAAAAAAGCTTTAGTTTTGCAGAGTTAAATTCTCAAACGTGTAAGGCAATAATAAGATGAAAGTATCACGAAATTATTTGAATAAACCACATCGCATATAAGGGGGGCGAATGTCCTAAAGAGGGGCGATATTCCTAGGGTATTCGCCCAACCCGCCTGGGAGGCGATATTCCTAGGAATATCGTCACGTTTTGAGGGGGGGGGGCGAATTTCCTGGGAGGGGGGGGGGCGACCTTTTTAAAAATTCTATCTTGCCCCCCAAAATTCGAGTTTGCCCCTCAAATGCCCCCCCCCCCAAAATTTGGAAGCCTGGCGCCGCAACTGAAAATGTTCAAGATTAACGGAAAAAATACATACGCTATTGCCTTCACATTAATATGTAATACACGTTTGTTGCCCGTCGCTTTCACAGTAGAGTATTGCAATCTAAAGGAAACCTGAAGAAATAGAATATGCTGTTATTATCGACCAAAGTATTGATTAAATATTATACAAGTTTTAAAATATACAATTTTTACATTAAGTATTATACAAGTTTTCATTATACAAGTTTTGATTTATGAAGACACCACATACATTTATATTATTGCAACAAAAATAATACATTATTATTCGCCAGGCGCAGGAAGCGCCCATATTTCCCAAAGGAGTCATTCAATTAGCCTTTCTCACGCCGCCATTTTTGGGTGGCATTTCAGCCGAAGTCTGCGAGATACGTCCACATAACAGCGACTTTTTATAATTTTTGGCCAAATGATGGTAAATTTGATTTGTAAATGCTTAGTTTATTTTGAAAAATTGCTTTTCACATTGTTTTAATTGTCTGCATTGGTTAACGAGAATTGGATGCCACCCAAAAATGGCAGATATTCGTCATCGTGAGAAAGGCTAATGGGGATTGATTAAAACAACAAACGCTGTATTTTAGCTGCCTCGTCCCCGGGCGCTAATAAAAAAATTCATACGAGTTACTATATGAAAGGTTTACATGAAGTAGTGCATCGCGACGAACAAGCGCAGGGGTTTATGGGTTTGAGACAGCAACAATTGAAGAGCGCCTGGGAGATCTTGTGCCGTTTCTTGCAAAATTCACCTGTTTCTTGCAAATCGTGGTTTTTCGACAGTTTTGGGTCTTTTTTCGCTATTTGTTTTGGCGAAAATAACATTTCAAATTGTTCAATTAAACATGTGATTACAGTCAGATGATATTTGATATAATTTGACCCATTAAATATTTCAAAATGTCAACACTTGAAGAGGTCAACGAGGCTGTAGAAGCCGCTTTATATACTAACTTTACAAGGTATGGAAAAATGAAAATGCATTTTTATCACAATGAGGAATTTATCAGTTTAAAAAATCTAAAGCCACAGGAAGTTTTTTAAGGTTACAGGACACCTGTTTTTTGCTCGAAAATTGAAAAAATAAAAAATGTCTAAATGAAACCTGGCTAGTAGAAGTATCATCTCTGCAATTTTGAAGCGAAAAAATTAAAAACTCGCCGAGTTATGGCTACATATTTTACACGCTCACTATATATGGCGGGAAACCATGTCCATGCTAATTAGTCAAAGGAATGCGATAAGTGACAGAATTGGTATATTTCAATTAGGCGCGGTTGCGTATAAAATATAACAAGATACTTTTTGGCGGGATTTCCAAACAATCTCAACAACGCCGTTATGCCGCGCAATAAATCGAAAGGTAAAAAGGCAGATTCAAATCCGTTTTTGTTATAAAAGAAAGTCAAGAAAGAATCGTCAATGGTAAATTGTCAGACACGTGTAAGGACTTATTAGCAGTGTCCTACTTCAAGCAGGAGAAACACTGGCCTAATTTGCTCCGCAAAAATATCAACGACGACAACCCAAATTTATCATGTTCCATGTCCAGATGCACAAAAAAGCTTTTGACCGGGAAGGCAAGTCTTCTTAAACGTAAAGTGGACGTACTTCAAACGCCAGAAGACGATTCCGAGTCGGAATGTTCAGAAAATTCGTGTGATGCTGAACCCGTAGTCGAGGGCAGCGATGAGTATGAATTGCCTGTAACTAGTAATTTTATTATTAGCGTTACATGCCTACAAGAAATGCTCGAAAATGCGGCAGTATGCAAAGATTTTTTCAGCCCTTTAACGCTCTTAGAAAAGAAAGGCTCGAGACAAGGATTGGCTGCAATGTGGTTGTGCGTCGCATCAGACGCGAGTTCCAACGCCAACATCTGAGCGGACAGGCATAGACGGATTTTCATATTTTTTACTGGGGTGGTGCCAGACATTTTAGGGGGATGAGCCGCGAGCAGGTGACTGAAGCAACACAAAGTGTCACCAAACCCCAGTAAGGTCTATATTCTAGGGGTGGAGCACTAGAGCCGCGAGTGGGAGTCTAGAGAGCAGAAAACAAAGTATCCCTGGAAAAATTTGAAAAAAATCTCGATTTCTAGCTTCGTTTTTTGAAGTTGTCATATCAATGGATTTGGCCTGTCCGATTGTCTGTTGAGACTTGAGTTAAATGAACCTGTAAAAGTGTAAACCCAATAGGCCAATACACAATATGCTTTTACTTTTATAAAATCATTGACATTGTGTCGTTTGAATGCGAGTACAATTTATAATGCAACTCCGATGCAAATAATATTTGGGACGTAAAGATTAAATCTAGGCAAGACTATTTCCTAAAAGAATTAAAAACTAAAAATAATGTTCGTAAAATTTCCAAACGTTCCTTGCAAGCAAGCTATCTGCATGACAAGGCACTGCAAACTCCATTCAGGTGAGATAATAGAGTTTCAAAACTTTACAATTGCTCCAATAAACCAGTGAATGCAAGCGAGGAGCAATTAGTTTCAGTGTATTGCACTGTATTTTTCTATTTGAGTGTACTCCTACGTTTATTTTGTATCATCAACACCCTGCATGTTGGAGTGGACTATTTAATTATTTTTTATTATGCCGAATATTGGGGGGGGGGTTTGAAATTTTTTTGCTGGGTGGACATTTTGTTTGGGGGGGGGGAGTTATAGCTAATATTGGGGGGGGGTAGCACCCCCCTGCACGCCCCCACAAAATCCGTCTATGCGAACAGGACCCAAGTACAATATAAATGTGGCGTCTGTTATTGCTTTTCGCGCAATTGGTAAAGGGAGAGCTGCAGCAGAAAAATGTTTCGCTATTCTAGATATTCTTTCGCCTGTTTAAACATGGGATGAACACACATAATTAGTGAGAAACTGGAAGTTTTAAAAGAAATCAGCATGAAAGATGCCGCGTTAGAAGTCAAACAATTTTTGCGAGATTGTGGAAAGATTTCTGATTGTACTGACGAAGAACTCGATGAAAAACTTGTCGATGTCGGTACGAGTTTCGACTGCTCGTGGAGTAGCATCCGGTCAGCCAGGGACGGGATTGTAGCAGCAATATCAGAAGATACCGGCAAAGTAGTTGATGCTGTATTCATGACAAGTTCGTGCCGCAGTTGCAAAACGATGGAATACAAACATGCCCTGGGTGAGATGTCCAAGTTAGAATATTTGGACTGGCACATCAAACACGAACCAGATTGTGAAAAAAATCATGATGGAAGCCCTCAGGGAAGCCATCACTCATAATAATGCATGAAATGAGTATTTATTATTACAAAAACTAGAAAAATATTTCTTTCATATTAAAGAAATCGAATGTTACATTATTTTTTAATTTGATACTTTAACATGACGATGCATTGTTTCGTCTTCGACTTTGCAAAAACCTTTGGCTTTGCCTTTGCTGATTTTTTACCGATATTCTTTGATTTCGCTTTTGTTTTTTCCATGTTTGGTGTGGATCCTTTTGACTTTGTCGTGTGTGTGGAAGCTTTATCTACATTTTCCTTTCTAGGCATACTTGCGCGAAATATTTAAATTATCACGAATTAATCAATTTCTTTCCTTCGACTGTTGTACTGTATAATATTACAAAAGTCATCGAACTGTGGAATCGCATCAAAAATTCCTATATCGGCCACTCCCACAAACGTCTACGACCGTACCTACATAGTTTTGCATGTTTACAATCCTAATTTGAACAGCCAATCCGGTTGTTGATAAAAAATACAATTTAACATCGATTGGCTGTTTAAAATTAGAATTGTAAACATGCAAAAATACGTAAGTGCGGTCGTAGACGTTTGTGGGAGCGGCCGATATACGAATTTTTTATGCGATTCCACAGTTTGGTGACTTTCGTAATATGTACGGTGGCCCTTCAGCGGCCGTCAAAATAACAACTTTGTTCCTCCGCTCTCATTGGTCAAAAGAATATTTCATAAATATCCCTGTTAATTGCATTTGAAGGGGCGTGGATATGTCAAGTGTTGAAAAAAACCCGCGAAAATCTGTGTGATATTCAAATTAAATTTTCTCCGGATCATATTTCCTACAATTACTAATTTTCAAATGAGTTATGCTCCTGTGAGTTTTAACGAATTTTTCTGAAATTTGGACAGCATATAGCTGAAAATATCAAAATTCTTTTCGGCTTTGTCTTAATTTTGGATATTTCGTGAATTACGAACAATTCATTGAAAATAATCTAAAATATAATTTAGTCGTCAAAGAAATTGCTGTATCAGAAGAATGGGGAAATAAATAAAAAAATCCGAACACAGTTTTTTAGAATAACTATTTAGTTGTATAAAAATTATATTTCATAAATATATCTTAAAACCGGCAGGAACATAACTGAAAGGCGTGAAGGTACCGCGATTTTAAATTTTCGTGAATAATTTTTATATCGTTTGTCAATTTGACAACTTTATGGTTTTCTGCGTGTTCGGACGAACATTTGACCAAAATTTGATAAAAAAAACGGACTTATATTAAGGAGGCTCTCTACAGTTGCGTGCGGGATGTTCGCGCGCGGCACCAGTACGTGAACTATCCCACGCAACTTCATGATCAAAACAAAACAAAAATTGACCACGCTTTTTTTAAAAATAAAGCTTTTTCTGAAAGGTTTCTAATGGAAAAAAGCGTTGAATAATACTTCGTTTTGAGTGCCAAATCACTTGCGAGTCTATACAGCAATTCTACATACGATACGAATATCACTAGACCATAAAATAGCTACGAAACAAGGTTTTTTTTATTTTTTTAAATATACACTGTCAACTGTAAAACATTTGCAAAATTGCATACAAATTCGTTTAAAAACGTCATTTAGTCGTGTTTCTACAAGTTTTAAGTGATTATATCAGAAAAATATTTCAGTTTCCTAGCCTATTTGTTCATTTTTAGCGAAAAGTACAAAACCAAACATGAAACAAAAAACCACGTCCACCTGTTAATAGGCTGTTACAGCTCATAGATTGAGTAAACGGCAGGATTCAATTAGCTTCAACATTGTTTTCACCGATTTGATCCTTCACAATAATCCTTGGCTATCCATGGCACTCAAGCCACATGCTACAGGTCAGGACGAAACGGCTGTGTTTTATAAACGAAAATACGACTTTATACTATTTTCTTGTTGTTGAAATTCCTTCACAAAATCCAGCTTGCTGTGTAAACGAGACAAATTCGAACAGACGAACTCAGAAAGGCAATAGTTTAAACGGTTTTGTGAAACTCTATGTCAGCGATAGCAAGTCAATAGGGCTAATCGAAGGCAATATAAACACAGGCGTAAATGGACAGATCAAATGAACGAGGATCTTTTGAGTTGCAAACGCGAGGCTGTGGCAATGACACAAATGGAACAACCACCGTTGGATGAAAATAGCAAGAAAAAAGGCTATATTAAACTCATGAAGGAGCTATGGGATGCGAAAGGATATAATGATTTTGGCTTCTCAAGCCCGAATTTGCGTGATCAAGCTGCAAGGCTCGACAAATCTTTGGAGCCGGGGGACTCGAGAAACGTATCAAGAGATTCTGTTGCTATAATTTGATAATTTGATAATTTAATAAAATACCGATTTGTAACCTATTAGGTTAAATTACATCAGTAAAAAGTCTCATTATACTACAATAGAATATCTAGATGCATAAAATTATTCATAACTTCAGTTGAAAAAGTTATAGAGTTCAAATTTAAAAATATTAAAAATATTAAAATTATGGTCTATTCATATGTGAAACCATCTGTGAAAAAAACGATTTCATAAATCTGTCCGTTTTACAACTATAGTTATTATAATCGCTTCCATAACGTGTATTATAGTTATGTTCAAGTTTAGGCGGTAAGAGGTCACCCAATTTGTCTCCATGTGCATTTTTAACAAAAAAAACGTTCGCATAATAATCGCCGCCGATCTTTCAGTAAGGGTATACCAGTAATACTGCAAGCTTCTCTATAAGTAGCGAATGGCAAGACAATACGCAGAGCCCGCTTCTGTAGTTTTTCGATATCTTCACTTAGGTATTCTGTAATATTGAAGTGCCAAACTTGGCAGGCATATTCGAGTACTGGTCTGATAATGGTGCAGTATACCAAAATTAGAATGCTATTGTCGGCATTTGATCGTTTTAACAACCTTAGCATATAAAGGCGTTTTCCCGCTTTTTTAACGATATGGTTCACATGCTCGTTCCATTTCAAATCATCTTGGATTGAGAGACCAAGAATTCGGGCAGATTTTACCCGCTCAATACCAACGTTATTTATAGTTAACGGTACAAACTCATGTTTTTCTCTTGCAAAGTCAATTACCATTTCCTTACATTTGCCGATGTTGAGCTTCATATTATTAACTTCACACCAATTATAGATAACATTCACTAGATCTTGTAGTTCACTACTCTCAGTTGATGTAACTCGTTCAGCAAACGTACTGTCATCAACATACTTCCATCTATCGCTCCAATCAATAAGAAGATCATTTATCATAACAAGGAACCAAAGCAATTTACCGGACTTGAATAACGACAATTTAATACGGGATTCGCAAAACGGGAGAGGGCCCAAACGGTTTCGATATGTCGAAAAAATGAATCGCAGTATACAAATCAAACGAATGAATTGCAAACAACAACCCGCCAAGATTTGCATAATAGTCAACATGAAATTCCTGGAGCACTCGACCAGAACGAAGATAATGCAATTATCTCGGGCTGTCTTCCGGAGTATAATAATGTAAATAAACCACCTATGATTAATTGGGGGAAGCGAGGCGATGGACGAACAATAGTTATATCGACTTCAGACATTACAGATGCATATGATGAAATTACAACTTCGAAAAAGAATGTTTTTCTAGTGCCATACGGGAAAATAGGAAGGGATTTTATCGATCAGATAACGATGCATATAAACGATGGAATAGACGTTCGGAAAATCAACATGTTTCCCTAAAAGCTGATTTTGTACTTCTCGCCGTTGGGCTTCAAAAGCCAAACCCGAAGTCCAAGGCAAAGGACCATCAAGATGCCTTGTCAAAGCGACATGCACTTTGGAAGGACGGTGAGGTCAGTAAGCTAATACGTGAGGGACGAATCATACAAAGTCGTATTGGAAAATTTAAAGGATCAAACCACCCTGATAAAGCTAAAGTCTTTGCTAAGCTT